GCTCAACACCGGCAATCTGGAGCCTTCACGGGAAGAAACAGAGAGTGGAAGAGGTTTAACGAGGAGTTTGAGTTTCTTGGCAGGTGAACAGTTCTATAATGGCATAAGTGGCAATGTTGGGGGAGATCGCATCAACAAGCATCGATGTTGGCATTGTTTGCAAAGAAGGCATCGACGTTGCTGACAAAGAAGGCATCGCCATTACCGACAAAGAAGGCATCGGCGTCGGGGATAAAGAAGGCATCAGTGCCGGCGTCGGGGCGAGGGCCAGGTCGTGTTCGGGGCCGGAATGGTGGGAGCTATTTTGAATGCACCAAAAACAATTTTTTTTTGTTTTGTGTTTTCGAAAACAAAATTACTTTTGTTTAAAAAAGAAATAAAAAATAGACAAAAAACAGCAAACAAATATGTTTTTTTTTGTTTTATTTTCTATTTTTAAAAACAAAAATAAAAAACAGAGAATAAAAAGTGATCCCAAATGAAATAAAAATTTCACAAAAACAGCAAACAAACATGTTTTTTTTTGTTTTTTTTTTTGAAAAAAAAAAGAAATAAAAAATAGAAAATAAAAGATAATCCCAAACAACCTCCTAGTAAGAAAGATAGAATGAATCAAAATAAAGAGTAAATAAAGAAGTTGATGAACAAAATTAAAGAGCTGAAATAAGTAGAAACCGATAAAACTACTGATGAAAAAAATTAAGATAAGAGAGAAGCCATAAGCAAATTTTCCTCAAAAGTTACAAAAAAGAAATTTTGATAAGTAATTCTCAAAAGTTTTAGAAGTATTTATGATATTGTGAGTCTATCAAATTAAAAACTATTTAAATGTAACATTATTCATTCATCTAATTCACAATTTAATAATATATTTTTTATCTTTAGTAATTACTCCACCAATATCATATTTATTATATTATATAAATAGTTATAATTATATATTTATTAAATGTATTCAGCCATCACAATCAACACTTGATTGAGTTTTTTTTAATTTATGGTTTAATCCCATGATTAAAACCAACAATAAATTAAAAGAATTAATAAATTCATTCTTACTATATTATAAAACTAATTAATAAAAATAATATTATAACATAAACTTTCTTAAATTAAAAAAAAACAATATGCATGAATGTTCAATAATAATTGTACCTCTTGGTGAAAGAATAAAAAAATTAGAAAAGATGTTTATCGAATGTGAAAAGTGAAGGGTTGTGTTAATTAGTCAACAATCAAAGTAAACTTGTCGAAAAAATCATGACATGAACATTTTAATCATTGTGAAAGTGCTAGGGCATCACCTGGAAGCGACGCGTTGTATGGCTTGAATACAGTGAAAAGTATGCAAGGGTCGATAAACCGACACCCGAGTCCAGTGTCAAATATACAAGAATTCCCACATTACGAATGAATGCGGGTAAAAAAGTTGGTCCATGAAACTAATATTAGAATATGATCTTAGAATATTAGAACTCTCAATGGTAAATTAATGGAATTAGTTGATATTATGATTTATTGAAAGATAAATAACTTATGTATTCAACAAACAAAATGGATTGGAGAAAAGGCTAAAAATATTAATAAATAAGGTTTTAAATTTTGGTATTCTGGTAAGTGTAGCACTAGAAATGGTGTAGGTGTAATTATAGATAAGAGTTTAAAAGATCATGTTGTAAAAATTAATAGAGTTAAAGATAGAATTATAGCCCTCAAGATTATTGTTAATGCTAAAATTTTTAGTGTTTATGCTCCTTAAGTAGGTGTTTAGATATAGGTTCTAAAGATAAAATCTGAAATGACTTAAAAGACTTAATATAAATTATCCCGCTTGAAAAAAGAATTTTTATAGGAGATTTAAATGGACATGTCGGTAGGGTGGAAGAAGATTTCAGAAATATTCATGGGGGCTATGATTTTGGAGTGATTAATGAAAAAGATAGAGTCATATTAGGTTTTACTTTAGCATATAACTTTATTATAACTAATACTTTATTCAAGAAAAGAGACGAACATCTTATTACTTATAATAATAGAACTAATAAAACACAAATTGATTATTTTCTTATAAGAAGAAGATATCATCGAGGTTGTAACGAGTGTAAGGTCATTCCAAGTAAGAATTTAAGTACCCAACATCGATTATTAGTTCTAAATTTTAGGATGAAGAGTTATAAAAAATAATATTATGATTCATCATCAGAGAATTAGATTAGGATACCTAAAAGACAAATAAAATTATTTTTATTAGTAAATTTAATATTTTAAAATTTGAGAAGTTTATGAAGAAGCAAATACTATGTGGGATAAAGTAACAAACACTATTAAACAAATAACAAAAGATGTACTTCGAGAATCAAAAGAAAAAGTATTTATAAATAAAAAAATTAATGATGGAATAATAATGTGCAGGTAAAGATAAAATATAAGAAGTTATGTTATAAAAAAAGTTTAGAGAAATGGGAAAAATATCAAATGGCCCACAAGGAGTCTAAACGAACAATCTGTGACGCTAAAAATTTTGTTTTTAGTGACTTTATAATAAATTAGACACTAAGGAGGGTGAAATATATATATATATAAACTAGTCAAAGAAAGAGAAAAGAAAAGTAAAGATTGAACTCAAGTAAAGTGTACTAAAAATGAAAATCAAAAAATATTTTTCTTAGAAAAAAATATTCAACATAGATGGGTAAGTTATTTTGATAAACTTTTTAATGAAGACCTTGAAAATACAATCGGCCTTAATGATATTAATATCTTTAATAATAATAAAACGTTTCATTTTTACTGTCACCTTAGTAACGTCACATTAGTAAAAAAGAAGTTGTTGAAGCTTTAAAGAAAACTAAGGGTGTTGATATCCCAATTGAAGTGTGAAAATATTTAGGAGATTTGAGAGTTTATTTGCTTACTAAACTCTTTAATAGTATTTTAAAAACTAAAAAAATACTTGAGGAGTGGAGGAAGAGTATTTTGGTCCCCATTTTTAATAATAAAGGGGATGCCCGAAAGTGTGCAAATTATAGAGAAATTAAGTTGATGTGTCATACTTTAAAATTATGAGAGGGTAATTGAACATAGGCTAAGACGTATTACAAAGATTTCTCATAATCAATTTGGATTTATGTCGGGCAAGTCTATTATGGAAGCTATACATTTATTGAGATGTTTGATGGAGAAGTTCAAAGTTAATAAGGAGAATCTACATTTGCCTTTTATTGATTTAGAAAAAGCTTACGATAAGGTTCCAAGAGATATCTTTTGGAGAGTTCTTGAGAAGAAAGGTGTTGATATGACTTACATTCAAGTCATTAAAAATATTTATACTAGAGTTGTTACTTGTGTTTCAACAGGAGGAGGATTGACCAAATATTTTCCTATCTCTGTTGTATTACATTAGGGATCAGCTTTAAGCCCCAATCTTTTGGCTTTAGTTATGGATGGTCTTAATGGACATTTATAGGAGGATGTACCTTGGTGCATGTTTTTTGTTGATGATATCCTTCATGTGGATAAGACGAGAAAAAGTCCAGGAAAAACTTGAATTATGGAGGTCTATATTAGAGTCTAAAAACATTCGTTTGAGTAGAACTAAAACTGAAGACATGGAATGTAATTTTAGTAGTATTAGCTCTAGCGACAGAAGTGTAGCATTGGGTGATCAAATTATTAAAACGTGTAAACGATTTAGATATCTCGGGTTCGGGTTTATTGTTCAAAGCGATATAGATGGGGATGTTATTAGTAGAATTCAAGTTGGTTGGTTGAAGTGGAGGAATGCTTCGGGCCTAATGTGTGATACAAAAATACCACTTAGACTGAAAGGACAATTTTATAAGATGGTGGTAAGATCTGCAATGCTCTATGGCGTTGAATGTTGGCCTTTAAAAGAGAAACATAATACTAATTAGGTGGATGAGTGGTTTTACACTTAGAGACAAAATGCGAAATGAATATATCTGTGATAGGGTTGGTGTAGCTCCAGTGACGGACAAAATTAGAGAGAGCGTCTTAGCTAGTTTGGTCACATTAAACGTCAACCATCTGATGATCCGACTATGAGAGATGTTTTAGATTCGACTTATGTTAAGAAAGGCAGAGGTAGACCTCGAAAAAGACTTTGTATAAAAAATGATCTTAATTTATTAGAATTAAATGAAAATATGACACGAAATAGAACGCAATGGAGAAAAACGATTCATGTAGCCGACCCCACTTAGTGGATTAAGACTTTATTGTTGTTGTTGTTGAAAAGAAGAAAAGATGCTAATAGGTTAACAAATAGAATTGCTTTTTCTTCATCTAACTAATCTATCATCACAAGTGGAATATAAGGGTAAAATGTGACAAAATAATGAGGGAAAAAAATGCAAGAGCCTAGTAAGAACTATAATAAAAGCTTTTTAACTATTAAATGTCAAGCGCTAAAAACCCAAAGTTTATGTGAAAGTCACTTGCTTTTAAACCTCGCTCAATTATAGTAGAATTAACCAAGGCAAGTAAGAACCCATAAATCACATGAAACACTTGATCTCAACTAAACTGTTAACTTTGATACTACTTTTTATAATTGTGATACATTGCGAACTCAAAGTTGAACGCAATACACCAGCATATATGCATGAAGCAACAAAAAAAAACCATAAGACAATTGATATAAGCCACTATTAAGAACTCGAGTGGGTTCACTTCTTCTGTGAGTCTATTTTCAACTTTTACGTGGATTTTAGTGCCAACAAGATGCCTGAATATTGAAAAGAGTTCAAGAAAAAAAAATGCAACCCGTTAGCATTACTACATTAAATGCTAACCAACATAAAAAATTAGTAAAAGTTCTTTTATGTTTTCCGGAGTAGCAAATTTAACTTGTTGGTCCTGCTATGATCCAACTTTAAAGCTTTGGCTCTCAAAAGATTTGCGAGAAAAGTCATCATAATATTAGAATTTGACAGCTAAGAACTTCACTCATGCAAAGATAAAGCTCAGAAAAAAAATACCTGAATTATCGGATCAAGTAATGCAGCTATCACAGGATCAAATTCTGGCCTCTTGCCAGATGCTGGAACCATCATTCCGTTGTAAGTTTCAATAAGCTCAAGAAGCAAAGATACTCCTTCCCGTACCGCCAGAGGTGGAGATAAATCAACTGCAACCAATGGCGGATACCTTAACAGCTTGTCTCCACGAGTTTTCAATATATTATGAAATGTTTGGTGGGCAGCATCTTTGAGTAGCCAAAGTGTGTTGCAAAGTGCGGTCTCTCTTCCCAACAGGTCCGAAATCTGTAGGGCGATAACAATCAAGTCAGAAAACAGACAACAAAATGGCACTCCCAATAACCAATTAAATTTACTCACAGTGTAACTATAGAACTCCAAAGTATTGCTCAGTTTATATGAAACTATAAGACTAGGTTTAGATTGCAAAACTTGCTCCACTCTAATTTTAAAGGGTCGACACGCCCCTTCAAATATTCTATCAAGAACAGAAGTCACATCGGGTTCTGACTTCGGAAAATCACTTTCGCGATTCCTCCCAAACTGGCGAGCAGCCGACCCAGAATCAGAAATGGCATCCGTATCGAGTAATACAAGTACAAGTTCTCTTTCCGAAGCAATAGCCTTCGCAAGAAGAAAATTTCAAACATCAATAAATTATAAAATATGGCACCCAATCAAAAAGCAGTTGACAATGATTAACCTGATGTAACCATCCCAACATATCACCGACATAGCGCAACGGATCATGTGCATGCACTTCAATGGGTCTTGGCAACCCTCCCGGCCCTCCGCGTGTAAGAGCACTAATGAACCTTCTAAACAAAGCATGATGCCTCATATTTGCAACCTGATTACATAACAAATGAGTATCCATGATGAATTAATGGAGCCAATGTTATACCTCTATGGAGGTTATTTCAGACCTCTTCTGTGCAATACTTGAAAAGAACCGGCCGATCTCTCAGGCAGCGGACAGCTGTCTTTAGAAGGTCACCAATTTCAGGATTATCACCGTCTCCCAATGCTTTACACTCTATTTGTACCCACCTAATATTTACATTTGCATTATGCATCAATGTCAGTAAACTCTTTCCTATAGTATGCCACGTCCATAAATCTGTTTTTTGCATCAAAGACAAAGTTGATACATGATCATTCCACTAATTTACTTATCAGGACTTCCACAAGCCTTTAGGATACTGTTGCTTTATGATCTTCAAACTACCAATAAGGCTAGGCATTATTTGTATATTCATAGCTTAATAAACTATTCTACTTTGTTGTTTCATATGTATTTCATCTTGTCTAGATGCAAAAAAAAAATTTTAGAGTAAAAAAATTCAGGTTTTATTAAAGTGATAATCATCACTATCATAAAAAGGCATATATAAATGCAGCAATGCCGCAAAGGACTCTTTTACCTGCATAGTCTTTCATATGCACCTTCTTGGTAAACAGACATCATGTCCATAAGCTCCAAACCAGCACGCTGCAAACAAACTTAATGATTATAGTCATGGATACTTCAGAATGAATGATAACTATTAATGGGCATACTCACTTATTTAAATTTTTTTTTTAATGCATATGACAAATTCGGAAAAGAATGAAAACAGGGCAGGTCAATCTTTTTGCAATTAAAGGAGCAACTGATATAACATTGAAGGAAAAAATTGATTGAAAAACATTTTTTTTTTAAAAAGACTTGATCCTTTTACTTTTTAAATAAAATTTTTGTTCTATTATTTGTCATAGTAGTGATTCAATTCAGTTCTTTGCTTGAAAACTCAAGTACAAGCTTACATTTTCAGTTTGCAGTCAAAAATTTGACTTCAACTTGCAAGCAGAGCTACATCTCAACTGTGTACGATAAGTTTATTAGTTAGAGTTTTCCTTTGATTTTAAGAAAATTTCATGGATTATATAGTTCAAGTTGATGAGTAAATATACAACTTCAAAAGAACAACAAACGGAAAGACCTAACTGCACTGATATGATGATTAGAGGTCACAGTTTAGGGCGCAATGCAACATCTCCATTAAAAGCACGAATAAGAGTAAGACAACATATATCAAAGCATTATTTTAGAAAACCAGTCACCAAAAAAACAGTTACTATCCTACATCTAAAACTCATGCATTAACAGACTGTTCCGACATATTTTAGATTAAATGTTTAAAAACCAAATATTCTAACTTATTTTTATGAAATAAAGATCATTAATTCACTCTCACGTAGTATTTCAGGTACAATCCCTCCCCTATGTCAAAATCATTCAAAACACGTCTTTAATGCATGTAATACAAAGATAACAAAGCCATATTCGAGCTGAATGCAGCCTTAGAAAAGATGAGGAAACGATATGATACCTGGTGATGTGTTCTTAATAATATCTTGCAGTTTGCATGAATTTCTTGAACATGATGGAGGGCCTTGAAAAAATTTTCATTCAATTCCTCGTCTCTTAGTGCAGTAATCTGTATTTATTGTGGAAATAGAATGATGATTGTTTAATAAAAGAGGCATGGCAGAATGTAAATAAATTGATGCCTTGAGACTGAGCTTCAAAGCAAGAAAAAAAATATATCAATAAAGCTGCTGACATGCCTCTTCATTGGAAAGTTGGTAATCACGAAGAAAACATGACACAATTTCCTGGCGCTGAATAGTGAGATCAAGTTCTTGCTTTAGCCTCTCAGTGGTACTAATGATATCTCCAGTGCTTGCACTGCAGCTGCTTAATGCCTTTGCTATCCTGTAATAAAAAAAAGGAAAATTTACATGCATGGCACATAATTCTTTTGTATTTATATATCTAACACCTAAAGTTTGATATGTACATTTATAACGCTTTGGTGTTAAAAACCTATGCATGAAAAGATGCATCTCACTTTTAAAAAGTTAAAATAGTGGTATTTTTTATGTGAGGTTAAAGATTTGAGTGATATGAATGTAAATATCAAAGTTTTAAATGTTAGATATGTAAATATGTAAGAGTTGTGTGATATGTTTGTAAATGCTCCAAGAAAGCCCATCTTAAACAAACTTCGACACGGGAAGCAAGGCTGATGAAGCATATATACATTTCATAACATAGAATGTAAACAAGGTTATCAATAAGTAAACATTAAAATTGACACGAAGCAAGAACAAATAGATAAAACAAATCAGAATAGGTACTTCTAAAATTCTTTAAAAGTTTGCTTCTTAGAAGATAGAAGAACAATGTTACAATTATTTATTTGAATTTATGCATTCTTAACAGCAAATCAAATTCATACCATCAGAAATAAGAACCCAAAACAAATACAACAGCAATTAAATCTTCCAATGAACTTGGATAGAAAACGCTGCCAAACCCAATCCCAACATGCGACAAAGAAACTTTAACCAGCCGACTACAAATACTTTACGATCAGCATCGCAGAGTTTACTAGAGCCTTCTAAGTTTATAGCATATGATTCAGGTAAAATACAAAACATAAAGTCGATGGAAGATAGTTGCAATTGCGATAAAGAGACTCACTGATCACAGCATTCGGCCAACGCGTTAACCTCTTCTTCGACTTTATCCAGAACCTGGATCACGTGAAGAGCACTGCAGATTACGTAAAGGAAAAAAAAAAACAAAGAAAGATCTGAGGTTATGCCGAGAAGAGGAAAATGAGTACCTGCTGGGCGGGGAGAGAGGCTAAGAGAAAGTGGTGATTGATGGAGAGAGAGCGAAGCTCGATCGAGGAGCGGAGGTTCCTCCGAGCCTGCGGGGTGTTGTCGGTGTAGAAAGTGGAAAGGGTGCCAAGCGAATCCAGTAGATCGGGGCTGTCTGTCCGGGTAGCAAGCACCTTCTTCAGTTTCCGTGAAAGCCCCGGGGCCAAGCTCACCGTTGCCATGTTATCCTCGCCTGCTTCTCCTTCTTCAGGCCGCCTGCGCTGCTTCTTCCTCCTCCGCTACGAAACTTTCCGTTGCGATCGCCTCTGCTTGCGAGAAAACATGGCAAAGGTCCAGATCGGCTCAATTGATAGTTTGGCCCATTGGAAGGCCCATACTAAGCTAACTGAAATCTTCCCATTTATTTTATTTTTTTTTTTTTTAATAAAGCTAGGAAAAAAAAACAGTTACAAAATCATTATTTAAAATTACAGCTCACGCGACAATAAAAATCCAAAAATGTCAAAAAGTAAAAACCTGATAACACCCGTGCCAAAATCAACAATAACAATACAACTGCATTAGCACCCTAAATTGTAATCATTCTTGAAAGAGAATGAAAAGTCCACGAGAAACGAGAAAACCTACAAAAAAATCAAATAGATACAACAAAACAACCAACTAACTACCAAAATATAAAGAAATAAATAATAAGCGTAAATAAAAGAAACAACAAAATGTTAATAAATAGGAAAAACACAATATATCAGAATTTATCTGCGGTTCAATATTAAAATTTCATTCTAAAATATTGAATATATAAGAATATATTTAGCACATTGTTCAATTTTAATAAAGATTGTAGTTCTCACATATCTATGCCAATCATGGCATCAAGATAAGATCATGCAGCAAAAGAAAATCAATACCGACCACAACATCTAGCCGAGATCAAGCAATGAAAGAAAATCAATATCAATCACAGCATCTAGCCAAAATCAAATAGAAAAAAAAGAGCACGGTAAAGATCAAGTTAAAGCCAACAAACCATATCAATCCAAAGATCAGCAGAACTACAACAGAGAAAAAACAAACAAATAAAGCTAGTCATGCACTGAAAAACCACCAACAATATAAATAAAACACTAAAAACAGCCAAACCAAAAATCAAATAAAGAAAAAAACAACAAAATTCCCTGCTAAGACTAGGAAACCCAACAGTCCGACTGAAAGAAAAGAAAGCTCCCCCCA